CTTATCTTATCTTATCTTATCTTATCTTATCTTATCTTATCTTATCTCATCTTATCTTATCTTATATTATCTTATCTTATCTTATCTATCTTAATGGCACGTAAAGATTGGATTTTTTTTTCTCATAAAAAAGTCTGTTTGTCTTCTTCTTCCTAAAACTCTCTCTCCTCCATTTGTGTTGTTCCTCCTCCCTCCCTATCTCTGCTTCCCCAGAAGTCGGAGGTCCCCCTGGACTATAACCAGCAGGACCCTGAGCAGAAGCAGATCTACCGGTTCGTCCGGACGCTGTTCAGCGCTGCTCAGCTCACGGCCGAATGCGCCATCGTCACGCTGGTGAGATTTACAGCCCGTGAGGGAAAAGTCCCACACAGGAAAGGACGTTTTCGAGCAGGAAAATCAGAATCCGAATCAGAAATAATGCCAGAGGGAAATCATTTTTGTTACCAACACATACATATATATACATGTCCATACACATATATACACATATAAGCATCATAAAGCTGGCAAATATCTCTATATATATACAGTATATATAGATCAGGGTGATAGACAGTGGGGGAAATAAGTATTTGACCCCTTGCTGATTTTGCAGGTTTGCCCACTTACAAAGAATGCAACGTTTTTTAATTTTAATAATTTTAAATTTTTTTTTTTTTTTTTTTTTTCATATGTACATTCTAACAGTGAAAGACAGAATCCCAAAGAAAAATTCCAGAAAATCACATCATATGAATTTATAAAAATTGATAACCATCTGATGAGGAAAAATAAGCATTCTTTGTAAGTGGGCAAACCTGCAAAATCAGCAAGGGCTCAAATACTTATTTGATATTTATATAAACACAACATTCCACACAAGATACAAACAGTTCTATACACATGCAACTATATGTATATATATATATATATATATACAGAACTAAAATAAGTGACAATATCAGTGTGCCCAGTAGCCCCTTACCGGTAGCCCCCCTACGGCCCCCGTTAGCTCCGTACCGTTGGTCGTCCGTTGCAGCGATACGTTAGCGAGTCCGCCATCTTGGATGTGGCAGAACTGCCCGTAAACTAATAAAAGAAAACGGACTGAACTCCGTAAAGTGCCTTTCTACAAAGTGCTTTAAGTTCATGCGCCTTTTTCACCCGTTCACACACACTAATGTATCTGGGAAATAAATAGGCACAAAAAAAAACGTACGTAACTTTTAAAGTGATGATTATACACTTTTACTCCTGATTTTTAGGATATAAGGAAGCACCAAACCAGCGTCTGTACTTTTAATGCTGAGTGTTTTCAGCTACTAAAGCCTGTAACTCTGTTACTGTAATATAAATACGGAAATATCTAAATTTAACATGTAATCTGTGTCCAATAATAACCAGATCCTGAAAAGTAAATGTGGTTTTCTGGATAAAGAGCACAAACATTTACATCTAACAGATTTTGATTAATCGTTTTTAAATTCACAATTATGATATATATATATATATAAATACAACATTAGACACACAAGATAGAAAGAGTTCTACACACATGCAATTATATGTATATATATAGTGACAATGACAGTGTGAGAAGGATAAATAAATGCCAATAAATTAGTAAGAATTTACAGAGGGGGTCGTAAAACAAGCGGTCCTATTAGATTACTCCTTTTTTTTTTTTAAGGACTTGTCCAGTTGTAATGTTTTCAGGCTTCTCTGGGGAGATTTTAAAAGGCTTTTGCTGTTTGAAGCCCGGTTTATGGGCCTCTGTGTTTGTTCCTCCATCATCAAAAAGCGTCAATTAGGTCGACCGGAGTCTCTTCATCTACCAAACGAGATGAATCAGAAGATCGGAAACTGGATTTGAAATGACTAAAAGGGTTTTCTGCTTCTCCCAAGCTCCTAACTCTGTCCTCTTAATGCGACCATGCAGGTGTACTTGGAGAGACTCTTGACTTATGCAGAGATTGACATCTGTCCAGGAAACTGGAAAAGGATCGTCCTGGGCGCCATATTGCTGGCCTCAAAGGTCTGGGATGACCAGGCCGTGTGGAACGTGGACTACTGCCAGATCCTGAAGGACATCACGGTGGAGGACATGTGAGTGATCGATGGGGCTTTCATCCAACCGAATAATCCTCTTTTTGACCACGCACGAGAAAAAATCTAATGTTTAAGCCTCTGTGAGGTCAAATCTATATAGGCAGAGCAGTTTTAGCATTTAAATTAGGTCCCAAATCTATTGTGGGATTAAGAAATATGAAGAATTTGCTTTTTTTATTCGCATTTAACCCTTTAAAGCCCGATCCAAGAAAAATAGGAATGAGTGAGTGAGTGTTGCATGTGGGTGGATTTAAGTTTTAAGATGTGTAAATTGTATACACTTAAATTTTGTATTTAACCCTTAAAATCCTGATCCAAGAAAAATAGGAAGAATATTGGATTTTTTTAGTCTGAAGTCTTTATTTGGCCCCTCAACAACATATGAAGAAATAAAACAGAAATTATTTTGATCAAATTAGCGTGCAATAAGTCAAAAATATATTTTGGTGTAGTCTTCTACTGGCTGTTATCAGGTGTATCTGAATGTGAACAACAGGGGTTTGAGCAAAGCTTTTACCACTGAATGATGCAAAAAGTCTCAGATCCAAAAGACTTCAGAAACTGTATCTATCAAATATGATACATTTGGCATTATAGGGTTAACTGTTAAGTAGTAAAATATTCCTATTGTTTTCTTTTGCTTGTCATTAGTGAGGTTTTGACTAATAACCAGGAGAAATAATGAAATCTATAATAAGCCCAAGTTTAAAATATTTCCTAAAGGCTCAGAAGATGTAACAGCCATTTCCAAGATTATCAGAATCAGAATCAGAAATACTTTAACAATCCCAGATGGAAATTATTTTTGTTAATAACTCCATAAATACAAAAGCATATACATGTATACATGTCTATACATACAGTGGGGGAAATAAGTATTTGAGCCCTTGCTGATTTTGCAGGTTTGCCCACTTACAAAGAATGCTTATTTTTCCTCATCAGATGGTTATGAATTTTTATAAATTCATATGATATGATTTTCTGGAATTTTCTTTGGGATTCTGTCTTTCACTGCTAGAATGTAAATATGATTAAAGTTATAGATCATTGCATTCTTTGCAAGTGGGAAAACCTGCAAAATCAGCAAGGGGTCAAATACTTATTTCCCCCACTGTACATGTCTATACATATATATTACGCTCAGATTAGGTTTGGAAGTGGGTCGGAAAAGAACCGAAAAGTGTTTTTTCATATTAGTTGGGTCCGGTAACGCGTGAACTCTCTGTGCAGGAACGAGTTAGAGCGCCAGTTTCTGGAGCTGCTGCAGTTCAACATCAACGTGCCGTCCAGCGTCTACGCCAAGTATTACTTCGACCTGCGCTCGCTCTCAGAGTCCAACAACCTCAGCTTCCCCCTGGAGCCGCTCAGCCGGGAAAAGGCCCAGAAGCTGGAGGTGAGGGCCTCCGAAAACTCTGGGCGGGCTTTAAAAAGCAGTTAAATTCCCCACATAAGTCAAATCAGAAGCCGATTGGCTGAGACTTCGACTTTTGAATGATATTCTTGTATTTTTCTAGAAGCAGGTGGAGTTTAAAGAGTTAAGAGTTATTTTTAACAGCTAAAAATCAGTTAACTTCCCCACACAAGTCAAATAAGAAGCCGATTGGCTGATTCTTCGACTTTTGAATGATATTCCTGTCTCTTCAGACAAATATAATTCCAATAACAGGTGGAGTTAAGAGTTATTTTTAAGAGCTAAAAATCAGTTAACTTCCCCACACAAGTCAAATCAGAAGCCGATTGGCAGAGACTTCGACTTTTGAATGATATTCTTGTATTTTTCTAGAAGCAGGTGGAGTTTCAAGAGTTAAGAGTTTTTTTTTAAGAGCTAGAAATCACTTAACTTCCAACCACACAAGTCAAATCAGATGCATTTGGAAATGATGGAAAATTATAGATTTTTTTTTTTCTGGGGCTTTCGGGGCTTTAAAAATCAGTTAACTTCCCCACACAGGTCAAATCAGAAGCCGATTGGCTGAGACTTCAACTTTTGAAAGATATTCTTGTCTTTTCAGACAAAAGTAATTTGAGCTCCAGGTGGAGTTTAGAGTGTTAAGAGTTATTTTTAACAGCTAAAAATCAGTTAACTTCCCACACAAGTCAAATAAGAAGCCGATTAGATAGATAGATAGATATATGGATAGATAGATAGATGTATAGATAGATAGATAGATAGATAGATAGATAGATAGATAGATAGATACTTTATTGATCCCCAAGGGGAAATTCAATTGGCTGAGACTTCAACTTTTGAATGATATTCTTGTATTTTTAGATTAATATAATTCCAGCAGCAAGTAGAGTTAAGGCTGATTTGCTTGTTTTGTGTAATTTAATTTCATTTTAACACTGTCAGGAAACAATTTTTGATCAATTTAATGTATTTTGCCACTTAATTATGCAGAGCCTCTTGAGGCCTACAAGGGAAAACTATATTTCTTTCCCATGTTTTTCGCCTTTTTCATGTTTCAGACAAATATAACTCCATTAAAAGGTGGAGTTTAAAGAGTTATTGCTGCTAACTTGTGATTATCAGCTTGGTTCCTGCTGCTTCTGAACAGAATGGACTACAAACTGCTCACGTTTAAAAAAAAAAAAAAGTTCCCTCCCATGTTTTCCCCCTTTAAAAAAAAATATTTTAACCGTTTTAATAGCAAAAAAATAGAGTACAAGTGCCTCATAGAGTTATTCATGGGCTAAGGAGTCTGTATTTATGATTATTTTTGATCGATTATTTATGATTATTGTTGATTTCACACATTAGACATCATACAATGAACCCTATAGATAAAATCTCACACTATGACATGTTTGGAGCTTCCAAAAAATCCACAGACAAAGTTTGCTGGGAGCCAGATTCTGCATTTAGGCTCCACAGACAGAGTCTTTCACTAGCTATTACAGAATAAATCGATGCCTGGTGTAATCCTCTCCTCTTCCTCCTGTCTGCAGGCTATTTCCAGACTGTGCGACGACAAATACAAAGACTTGAGGAGGGCTGTCCGGAAGCGCTCGGCCAGTGTGGAAAACCTGAGCGGGAGCCGGTGGGTCCCCGCCATCCTCTCCTAACCAGTCGTTCCTCATCTGGACCGGTCAGTTTTAGAGGGATGAACTCACAGACCGGGTCATTTCTGAGGAGGTTTGAACCCAAACTTGATGTCTCCAGTGCCTCAGCTTGTCTGTTCCAAGAGAAAAGATGGGATTTTGTTGTTTTTTTAACCCATCCGTGGAGAAAAAACGGACATTCGGACCAACAAAGGAGCCCCTCAAGACTTGGCGTTTTTAAAAAACAAAACAAAAAAACAACCCGTCTCTCAGTTGCAGAAGAGTATTATAGCACTGGACTTTCTGCTAGGTTGTTTAGTTATTTTTTTCCTTTAACATTTGCTAGTTTTTCGCCTTTGGGAATATTCAGAGTTTACAGTATAGTGCACCTCTTTATGCTCAGGTAGTGTGTCCAACGCGTTGATTTACTGTGACGGTCTTTGTTAGTTTTTTTTTTAATCAAAGACGAACATCAGATTACGAAGAAACAAGCCCCGGAAATGGAAAATGGCACAAACCTTTAAAAATAGCAGCGTCCCCACAGATGGAAGTGTTTTTTTTTTGTTTTTGGGTGGGACGAGTTCAATCATGCAATCACGATGAGTTTTTTTTTTTATGGACTGTACAGGATTAAATATAACCCCAGAGCATGTTTTCCAGACTAGTATTAGCTTGATTTTTGTCAATCTTTTTTCTTTTTAACATATCTGTTTAACCAGCCAAGGAGCTCAAAGAAGAGTAACGGTCATCTATATTTATTTAAATACTGGGAAAATAAGGTAAAAAACATTGGACTGCATTAGACACACTTTTCCCCTTCGTCCTGAATATCTACCAGACCTTTTTTTTGGATTCAGTCAGTATTAAGATGACAGCATATATCATCCATTTTTCACATGGGGAGTCTCACAGGGCACAGGTTGTTAGTTCACATCCATATTTTTTTGTTTAAATTAATCTTTATTTGCCTTGCTGCGTGTTGCCAAAGCAGCAGGTCCTCAAACGCCCCCCAAATCCTGCAAATTAAAACACTGGAAACCAGTAAAGCTGCTCACTTTACCAGGTTTTTAAAGGGCAGACACACATTTATAAAAGGGGACATCGACCAAAGAAACAATTGTGCAATTGGGTGCAACCTGAAATGAAACTCAGTCTGAAATAAACCAGAAAACAAATGAAAATAAACCAGTTACAGCTGGTTTGCTCCACTGGTGTGCGGTGTTGTCGGTCTGCGACACAACAGTGTGTTCTTTATCGGAGATTTTGTGTGTTTACTCGGCACAAAGAGAGTATTTTTGTTCCTTTACAATTTTAGAAACACAGTGTTCGTTAATACAAGTGAATAATTGATCCGTTTTTGTTTTTTTGTTTGTCTATTTTTCTCATTTGTCAAAGGACTTAACCAGTAATATATATTTATTTTCAAATTAACTTTGTACAGTTTATAAAGAGTTCAAATTCTCAGAGAGTTTGATTGTAAATTATTTATGGATGTGTTGATTTGTGTTTTTTAATAAAAGAAGATGCTCTTGTTTAAGAATTTGCCTTTTACGGCTGATTTGCTTGTTTTATATCATTTCATTTCATTTCATTTTAACACTGTCAGGAAACAGTTTTTATTCAAATAAATTTATTTTGCCACTTAATTCCACAGAGCCTCTTAAGGCCTACAAGGGAAAACTATATTTCTTTCCCATGTTTTTCGCCTGCTACCCTGAGCTTTGTTAAGACTGATTCCTTTAGGACCCACCACATTTCATCTTTAACGTTAAAAAAGCCCCATTAAATCTCCTTTACAGTAGATTTGACT